ATAAATTATAACCTTATAACCATGGTTTTGAACTCTATCCAGTAGTTTGCTTGCTTCCATTTCTTTCATTTGTGATATGTTTGTCTCTGCATTTTGGCTGCTTCCCTGTGTTTGTTTCTGTGTATTAGGTAGAGCTACTATGTCTCCTGGAGTTGGTAGAGTGGCCTGTGTAGTAGGTGCCTTAGGGCCCAGTGGCTCAGCCTCCCCAGTCACCTGAGTGGGCGCTCTAGGTGCACCCCTGTGTGGGCTGTGTGCACAGTCTTGTAGTTGAGCCTTGATTGCTGTTGGCGTCTCTGGGAGGAGTTGACCTCCAGGCCAATTGGCTATGAGAACCAGCTGTGACTATAGTGGGAGAGCTGCTGTACTAGAGCTGGGTCTTGGGCCTTTTATTGATAGGTTTGGGGCAGCTGTCACCAGCTGCAGCTTGTCTGAAGCCTGAGGCAGGACAGGCTATTCATATGGAAAAGCTGCTGCAAACAGCTTGGGGTGGGCCTGCAAATTGGATGGGGCGGGGTCTCAGGGAATCATTAGGGCGGAGCAAACAGTGTGCTCCAGGCTGATGGGGACTCAGAAATGCCTGCCAGTCAGCCCTGCAACAGGGGCGGTCCCAGCACAGGAACAAGGACCCTTGCGAGCACCCCTCTCTGGGAGAAAGCCGCCCCCGAGTTCCTGCCCTGATGCCAGACAACCCAGTTCCTCCCGTATGTGTCTGGGTCCCCAGCGCTGGAGCTCGGAAGAAGTTGACCGAGTAAGTTTGTGCGCAGGCCCCTCACACCTGGGATTCCAGCAGACTCAGTGTCACTCAGCCCCAACCCCCGATGGTTTTGACAGCCTGTAGTTGCGTGGACTTCTCCCCCCAGCTCGGGAACCCTGGGCTGGGACCCCTTGCTCCTCACGGGCTGCCTTTCAGAGACAGTCTCCCTCCGGATTAAAAATCCAGAGCTCGGGAACCCTGGGCTGGGGTTTGGTGTGGGGCTGGGACCCCTTGCTCCTCATGGGCCGCCTTTCAGAGACAGTCTCCCTCCGGATTAAAAATCCAGCACACGGGTGTGAGACCAGCCTTACCTCACCCCCACCCCTCCTACCAGTCTCAGTGTGCTTTCTTCGTTACTTTTCTAGTTGTGATGAAAAGTAGGCCTTCTGTTCAGCCCACTTTCGTGGCGGCTCTGTGTTGTAGTTGTGATTTTGATGTGGCTGTGGGAGGCGGTGAGCGCAGGCGTCTATTGGTAGGCTCGGGGCGCGCTGTCACCAGCTGCAGCTTGTTTGAGGATTTCAGCGAAGCCTGAAGCCCGAGCCAGGACATCTGGGTTCTCCTCTACCCCGTCTCTTTCTCGAACAAACCACATCCCCCCAAACAGGGCCTGTGTCTGGGGGAACGGAGAGCTGGAGGGAATGCTCTGTGAGTCTAGCGGGTGGGTCTCCCTCTGGAGCAGCTTCAGGTTGGAACTGGCCTTGGCCCTGACCTCCCTCTGGGTCAGCGCCTCCTGATGCAGGGTGTGCTCAGGGCTCCCTGCTGCCCGAGGCCGTACGGGTGGTGTGTGCGAGGGGTCCCCAGTGCTCTCACCCACTGCCAGGGTAGTGTCCTGGCTCCATGGACACGCACTTCTAGAACAGCACATGCATGAAGAGTTGCCAGTATTATGCCTGGCCTCACCTCAAACTCAGCCCTAGGGAAGCATCTGGGACCTGAAACAGCAACTGGAAAGGAACTCCGTCTGAAGGGTTGGTGTCTCCCTCTGAAGGGAAGGGTGCTGGCCTGGGGCCCGCCCTGCTGGCTCTCCCAGGCTCCTGGCCCCTCGGCAGCGCCATTGGCTGTACTCGCTTTAGTCCTTCCCCCAGTGGCTGTCGTCCAGGTAAACCAGCAGACGGTGCCCGAGGGGCTTAGAGAGCAGCCCCTCCGAATCCTCTCGGGGGCATAGGAAACCGAGGCCTGGAGAGTCTTTGCTGCCCGACCTTGTACAATCACCCGACTCCGCATTTGCTCAGCCTCACCTGTAACACGGGGGTGAGAGAGTGGGCTGGGGGCTGCAGCAGGGAAGAGAGGGATCGTCGAATACAAAGGGGCTAACCAGGCAGGGTCCCTGGGCAGTGCCATTCCCTCCATCTCTGGCTTCAGCCCTCTGGGACCATCCCAGTGGGGAGGGGAGGACGCCACTGCTGGGCCAGGTGTTAGGTATCAGCGCATCAGCGCAGGGTCTGAACCCTCAGGGCGCGGGAAGCTTTGGAGAACCAGGTTCGTCCAGCCTCAGGTCCTCTGTCCTCATCCCTTGGCGTTGTCTGGGCAGCACCTTGCCCCTTCCTGGGTGGGGCTGTTTCTAGAGAGAATCAGGGCAAGGACGGGAGGCCCCCGGTCTGAAGAGGGAGAGACGCCAATTGCAACCTGAGTGAGGTGGCCTGGGAGGCGGGCAGTGAGGGGACGAGTTGGGATGGTCTCCATCAGAAAAGGCGAGACCACAGGCGGCCTGATAGCCATTTTTGTCTGAAAGGAGCGCCTGTACAGACTCTGCTTTTGACAGCTGGCACTGCAGCAGGGCGAAGGCAGCTCCCTGGCCGCTCGGGAGCTAATACTGGAACAGCTGGTACCACGTTATTGAAAATGTAAAAGCAAACAGGACACGGGCAGCCCCCAGCTGGCATTTGCTGCAGAGCAGGGCTGTCTTCGGAGGAGAGGCTGCGTCCCTCCGAGGAACTGGGGGTGCCCTAGGGGTTTGGGGAGCCTTGACCCCGTTCGGTCTCCTCCCAATTGCAGTATCAACGACTGTTTACCACGGGCCTGCTCTGTGCCACGGGCGTCAGTTGCACCGTCTTTATTCCTCACGACAACCCTGCAGGGAAGGGGCCTGGAGACAGAAAACA